TTATTATTGCTTTTTCTTCGAGATTCTTATTAAAATTCTCTTCAAACAAAAAATTTTTTTTCTTATTTTAAAAAACAAAAGATTTTTTTTTCTTTTCTTTTGACACGAAGGGAAATATAATTTTTTGACAAAAGAAATTTTAGAAAAAAAAAAAAAAGAAACAAAAGGTTTAAATAAAAGAAAAGCCCCCCCCTCTTTCTCCCCCCCCCGAAAAAAAAACGAAAAGAAAAAAACAATTTTTATTTATAATTTTGATTGTTCGGTTAATTTCCTTTATTATTTTTTTCGGGTAAAAATAAATTTAATTATATTGTTTGTGTATAATAAAAAAAAAAAAAGGAAATTTTTTTCTTCTGCTTTTCAAATGTAACAAAGGTATCGATTAAAAGGAAAGGAAACAAAGAATAAAAATAAAAGTGACGGCGACGATAATAATAAATTTTTAATTTTCTTTTTTTTTTTTTTTGTTTTATTATTTGGCGTTAAATTTTTTTTTTCATTTGAAAAAATTTATTTAAAGTTTATGAATTCGTAACGCGTAAATAATTTACGCCGCGTAAATAAAGTTTAAAACGCGTAAATAAATTTTTTTTAAATTGTTAAACGCGAGGATTTATTTATTTGTTTTCGTTAAAATTTCGAGAATTTTTTTTTTTTTTGGTGGGAGGAGGGAGAGGAAAACTAAGTTACAAAAAATAAAAAAAAACGTTTAAAAATAAATAAAATCGTAGAAAGAGAAACAGGGAAAAACGAAAGGATGAGATAGAGAATAAGATATTAAAGAAAGAAATAAAAGAAAGAGAGAGAGAGAAACGAAAAAAGGGGTAGAAAGCAATATAGAACAAAAAAAGAAATGAAAAAAGGGGTTGAGAGCAATATAGAATAGAAAGAAATGAGAGAAATAGAGAGAGAGAGAGAGAGAGAGAGAGAGTAAAAAAAGAGTGAAAGGAATATAGAACAAAATATAAAAGAAAGAAATGAGTGAATGAGACAAAGAGCAAGATAGAAAAGAAAGAGAGAGAGAGAGATAGAAATGAAAGAATAAGGTAAAGAGCAAGATAGAAAAGAAAGAGGGAGAAAGAGTGAAAGGGATAGAGAACAAAATAGAAAAGTAAGAAATGAGAGCGAGAAAGAGAAAGAAATGAAAGATTGAGACAGAGAGCAAGACAGAAAAGAAAGAATTGAAAGAAAGAGAGAGAGAAATGAAAAAAAGGGTTCGAGAGCAATATAGAAAAGAATGAAATGAGAAAGAGAGAGAGAAAGTAATGAGGACAATATAAAACAGTTTGACTGTGTCGCAAATTAACGTATCGAATATACATTTATATCTTCATAAAAGGATAAACTCGAGTTTTGATTTCTTTTTTTTTTTTCTCTTTCTTATTAAAACACGATTATTACGTAGTTAAAATTTATAAAATCTAACGAAAATTAATACGAAAAACACAAAAAATCAAAAACTACTAATTAAAAGTTACAAAAAGAATTTCCGTTAAAGTAAAATTCGACATTTTCAAAGTCGCCAACGGCAAAAAAAAAAAAAAAAACCCAAAAAAGTCAAATTTTAAAAGTTTCCGGTAAAAAAGTTCTTACTTTTCAATTACGCATAAACACACATTACATTTTCGTTGAATTCACTTACACTTCCGTTTTATTATATAAAATTTAATTTTGCAATTTCCGGTTTTTTTAATATTTTTAACCGGCCTTCGAACTTATTTTCTTTATCGCATTTTTTGTTTGTCGCTTGTCGTTTTTTATTTGTTGCCATTCGATTCCTAATTATTAATTAATTAATTTTTATTTATTAAAAATAATTTTATTGTTTGAAGTAAAACTTAATAATAATAATAATAATTGGTTTTTATCGTTATTTAATTGCGTGCGTTCGTGCGTTCGTTTGGATTATCAAATACAAAAGTAAAAAAAAAAAAAAATTTTTTTAATGGTTTTGACCGCAAAATGAAAAGGTTAACAAGGTATTTCACGTGTTCGTGTCGTTGGAAAATTTTTTTTTTTCGTAATAATAATAATAATAATAATAATATCTATTGTGTCGAAATTGTTGTGCGAAAATAATTATAAAAAAAAAAAAAAAAAACGAGAAAAAACGAGAAAAAAAAAACCTTAAAAATGTTTTAAAAAAAAAAAAAAGTAAAAGAAGCCGCAAAAATTTATCAAAATTTTTTTTTTTTAATATAATTTGAAGTGTCATTGTTATGAGAGTTTTAAAAAAAAACGAAACAAAAAAAAACGTGTCAATAGATAAAAAAAAAAAATCAATAAAATCTATGAAATTTTATATTTAGCAATTTATAATTTAAAAAAAAAATATACACACATAAATTAAACCGAATTAATTAAAATAATAATAATAATAATAATAATAATAATGATGATAATGATAATGATAATAATAATTGTTTCACCTTTTTTTTTGTCTCGTCGTTTTTTTTTTCGTCGCCATATTTATTTATTTTTTTTTTCTTTTCAAAATAAAGAAATTTTTAATTCGTTATTCGATTACGAAAGGTTAATAAAAAAGTTAAGGATAAAAAATGAATTAAACAAATAAAACTTAATAATAATAATAATAATAATAATAATAATAATAATAATAATAATAATAATAATAATAATAATAATAATAATAATAATAATAATAATAATAATTTCGATTTATTAATAATAATAATAATAATAATAATTTTACAATTTACAAAAAAATAATTTATAATTTTTTTTTTTATTTTTCTAGCGTTTTATTATCATTATTATTTCTAATTAAGCCATTCGTTTTTTACTTTTTTTTTTCATTTTTACATTTTTAAATTGATTCGATAGCTTTTATTATTAGGGTCACAGAGGTAGAACGGGGGGGGGGGGTGTGAGTGTGAGGGGATGTTCAATTTGCTGTCGTTAATTTTTTTTTTCACACTAAATCAACCGCAAAAAAAATTAAATTAAATTAAATTAAATTCGTATTGTTTTTTTTTTTTTTTTTGTCTCGTAAGCCAAACATTAAACGTATAAATTTACTAATAATTTAATAATGACGATGATTATGATGACGTGACGATATTTTTTTTTTTTTTTACGTTGTTTATATATATATGATATATCTTTCGAGGGTCCTTTGATCCTTTCTGTCGTCGTCCATCGAGGATACCATAACAAATTCAATTATTTTAAATAAATGCGTCCACGCATCGTCAAGTTCTTCGTCCCATTGTTTTTCCAACGATGGTTTTATGGCTAATATGAATTGGGGACCGACTAACTGAAAAAAAAAAATTATTAAATCGAATTTGACATTTTTAAAAACTTCCGCCGATAAATTTAAAATGTTTACGTACAATTAAATAATAATAATAATAATAATAAAACGATACGAAATGAATTTTCTCGTTATAAAAAAAAAAATTGAATTATTTATTATTATTATTATTATTTCGAACGTTTATTTATTTATTTATTTTTTCTAAGGTATATAATTAAAACGAACGACGATATTTTTCTTTTTACACGTCAAAAAACAAATTTATAATTATTTTTTTTTTAAATTTAAATAATTTAAATAATTTAAAACTCGTGAAAATAATTAAAAAAAAAGAGAGAGAGAGATAGAGATAGGTGTAGGCGTTAATTTACGTTCGAACGTATCGTGAAGAAGAGGAAAAAAAACGAACGTAAAACAGTACGTATAAAAAATGATGAGAAAAAAAAAGGTATAAAAGAAAAGGAAGAGGGAGGCAGGGGGAAAACGATAAATTACAAAAACGGTCGTGAAAACAAAAAAAAAAAAAAAAAAAAAAAAACGTTACGAACGTCGTTGTTGTCGTCGTCGTCGATTTGAACGGGCCGTTCGGAAAAGATTTATAGACTTAAAACAAAAAAAAAAAAATTTTTTTTGTCATTTCGTGAATAAGTTATTAGAATAAAACAAAAATGTAAATAAAATTAAAATTCGAAAAAAAAACGGTTTTTAAACCCGTTAAATATAATAATAAAAAAAAAAAAAACATTAAAATTCAATGAAAAACGATTTTAAAACGGAAGTAAAACAAAAACAAAAACAAAAAAAAATTTTTTTTTAAACGTTTTTT